TATTATATTATAATTATATTATTAAATTGATTATAATATTATTATAATATCATATTGTATGATAAAATAATAATATTAGAGTTATTAATATAATTATGATATTATTTGTTACAATATTATATTATATTATATTATATTATATTATATTACGATTTTAAATTTTAGATTGAGAAGATTGTAAATTTTAAATTTCATTAGGGGTATTATGGGTATTATGAAAGTTTTATTAATTGTACTATGTTGATTCCCGCACAATCTAAAAGCTAAAGTTGTCTTTAGTCTTTAGGCTGCTTCTGATTTTGGCTGTAGATTCTTGAAAAATTCTTTAAAAATTACTTTTGAGGAGATTTATCAAACACTAAAATCAACTTCTGCTATAAGTAGAAGTTGTTTTGGGAGGGAAAAGTAATACCAAACTAAGCCATAGTCTAAGAAAGCTCTTCATTCCCTAACGAAGTAAACTCTCCCTTACTTTTTTATTTTATTTTTTTTAATAAACCTGATCATGAACAAGTTTATTCATCCATTTGATTCAGTGAAAAACTTGATTATGAATGGGTTTTCTTATCACAGAGAAATTCTGCCTACGAAAAATTTGAAATGGCAAAAGGTCGTGTAATGCTTAATGTTCTTTTTTTTTTCAAACATGTTTAGGCTTGTTGTGTCTATCAAATGTGTAACAATTTAAGTTTTTTTTTTAAAAAAAGTGTGGCTGCAAACAAAACGTAACGGTAATTTCACACCTAACTTCACCATTAAATAACGAGTTTAAATCCTTCACCTTTAAATTTGGCAAAAAAAAAATAGTGTAATAAATCTCACCAAGCTCTTCATCAGTAAATTGTATGTATTAATTAAATTAACTGTAGAATTAAAAGATAACAATAAACACATTGTTTATAAATAAAAAATCTTAGACAAATATTATTAATTATTTCAGGCATCTAACATCATACAAAAATTATAAAAATAATATAATGTAAACAACATAACATAGCACAATTTCATCACAAAATGTACAAATATAAATTAAATCTTACTTGACATACAAATTTGATATGAGAACTTCGATTATATTAAGACATAAGCAATCACCTTGACATACAAACATAGATTTTTTTTTCTTTTTCTTTTTAAAGAGGAGTAATGGTGCCAAGATTGACAACAAGGCCAAAAAATATGGCGGCCGACCAAAATCTTGTTCGTTTGCTCTTGATATTTTTAGCCTACAATAACACACGTCCTAATCACTTATTTCCAATTAAAAATAATACCGCAAGTCTTCTTTTTATACTTTTCCACACAAAAAAACACCATTTTAGAAAACTTTTAAAGCGCATTTGGTAGGCAATAATTATGAGCATGCGAATGATAATTTATAATATTACCATATTTAGTATAAAAATTGTAATTTTTTCATTCTCAAAAAAGTGAATCCCATGAGATACTTTACCTTATTTTAAGGTAATCTAAAACCATACTCACTATGGTGTTATTCATTTTTCCAGGAATCTAAATACTAAGATAAAAAGTTAAACAGACCACCACTATTACAGATCTGCTGTACCCACGACGACCACGACCACCACCACAGATCCAGCATTGCAAATCTCGACGACCGTAGATCTGCCGTTGTAGAAGCACCCTAACCACCACGGTTCGCCATCCTTACCATGCCCGTCGAATGCCATCTCCCCACCAACTCATCTCTGGAGCTCGCCCATGTTCGCCATGGATGTTGAACTCCCCCTCTAAACCAAGGTCGTCACTGGAGCTCTGTGAAATCGCCGAATCTCGTCGGACCTCGCCGGAATCATCTTCCTCTTATTCGTTGCCGCTTCTCAAATATGGTTGTCTCCATCGCAGCCCTCTGTCTAATGCCCACATCCCCATTTCGGGTAGAGCTCGCCATGGCTCTGCGAGACCAACGACAGAAACCAACCCATGCCCCTCAATTCTAGTTGCCACCTTAAAGATCGACTGCTCATCATCGTCGCTTGCCTACCTCTGTCGTAGTCCCTTTTGTCACAACTCCTAGCTTGCCCTTCTGACGTTGTCGCCGGCCCCCTTTACTAAGCAGATTTGGTTCAATCGTTCCTTATCATAAGAGAAAGAGACCAAGGTCCCGTTCATTTTACCGATTTGAGTTTAGAATTCGAGTTTTACTATAGTAAAAAGCTCTCAGAAACAGTCACATCTAACTTTTTGCTACAGTAAAAAGTTTTCACATAAAATCACATATTAACTCGAATTAAAAATTAGAATCAACGAACTAAACGGGCCTCAAATGAGAGACAAAAGAAAGATCAACATGTTTTTTTTTTTACTTGGTAATTCTATATGTTAAATTTAACAAATTGATTTGTTATTAAATAAATTAAAAAAAATGTTGAGTTATTTTTTCTACAATTTAAAATTTTAAAATATTTGAAAAAAAAGAAATCTATGGTGTTAAAAATATGTAATCACCTAATTTAACAAAATTAACAAAATTTAATTGGTTTTTAAATGTTTAAAATTATTGCTTTTTAAGTACTGAACATAAAAAAAAGAACTAAAAGAAACTAGTCGCGTATACGGCTTTATTGCTTTTTAGAGGGGAAAAAAGAACTAAAAAAGATCTTAAGTACCGCATTAAAAAAAAAAATCTCAAGTAGAAAAGAAACTAGTCGCGTATACGGCTTTATTAACAACGACGTGTTGATTTTTCCTCTACGAGATCCCCTGTTCCCAGCTCCATGCAAACGGAACCATGTAACTAATCAAGGCGCAGAACTGGAGGGTAAAACAGTCATGAAATAAAATATCAAGAAGTAAGATAGGGACGGCGCCAATGTCATTAGGCTAGATAAGGTTAGAACACGTGTCGCATCTGCAAAAAGAGCATCCAAAGTCAAAACCATAGTATTCCAATCGAACGGTCAATATAAGTCCACGAGAATCGATAGTCAGGGAGTGATGATAGTGTAGATGGCGTTGCATGAAGAACAATGTATAATCGAAGGGGGAGAAAGTAGAGGATATATAGAGAGAGAGAGAGATATATATATAAAAAGAGAATTGGAAGAAAGTAAAACCTTCTTTTATCCATCATCGACCACATTTATTTCCATTGGAGCCGACGGGTCTCTCTCTCTCCTCTCTCTCTCTCTCAAGGAAGGAAGACCCTCTCTCTTTCTCTCTCTTCTTTTCCCTTATCTCTTCCTTTTCTTTCTTTTTTTTTCCTATTTAATTTCTTTTTATTTAAGTTGGAGCTTGAATCGAGGGATTTCAGGTGAGTTTTTGGAATTTCTTCACTTGGTTTAGTTTCGGATTCATTTTATTCTCCGTTGTTGTGTTGCTCTCTGTAGAGGAATTAGGGTTTTTGGATGGTTATGTAAGCTCAATTTTTTTGGGGTCAATTTTAGGGTTCCTTTTTCTTTGTTAATTGATGGTTACGATTTTTGTTTAGGGTTCACCTATTGGTTATTTCGTTTTCCGTGTTGTTCTTTGGTTGATTTTCGAGCTCTCCACGAAGTGTTATATATGTGTGTGTGTGTGTATGCGAATAACTCTTAGTACTGTTGATTTGTGGATTTGTATTATGATTTAGTATCATTGTAAGCTTTTATGCTTTTGCTGAGTGTTGATTTCAATGGTGTATGTTCTTGTTAATTTTGGGGATTAACCATAGAGTAGTGTGTACTAGTAATACTAGATGCGTATAAATTATCTTATCATAAATTATCAATTTTTTTTTTCTCTTATATAAATTATCTTACCGGGGAGCTCGAAATTTGTTTTCTAAATGATTGTCTTTGAGTTAATGAGCTTGTAAGTGATTTTCAGGCATCATTTGCTTCCATTGTTTGTATTCTGATTCTAATGCAAACAATTGCACAAAAACTTCAACTATTTTGGTAGCTTAAAAATTAAAATAAACTCCTTGAAATTTAATGTTTTCTGTGATGTATAAATTTTTTTGTGTCGTTATTGGAATAACTAAACTTATGATTTATGCCACTTGGGGTTGTAAGTTATTAGTGGAACTTTTTCTTGTGTGTGTGTGTGTGAATGGAGCACATAATTCATGGTCTTTGTTTCTTCGACAATATGCAGGCTGCTAGGTGAAAATCATGGCAAGGGTTTTGGTTCAGTCGACTAATGTTCCCGGCTTAGTTTCGGGCTTAAAGCATGGCCAATCAAAAGGGTCTGGAAAATCAAAAAGGGCTGTGAGAATGATGAGTTGTATACAAGCGCCTGGGTTGAGAATGAGGGGCTTCTCAGGACTAAGAAGCTTTAATGCCCTAGATACTATGATGAGGCCTGGGCAGGATTTCTATTCTAAAGTGGCAATTACGAGATCTTCCAGGCGCCAAAAGGCTAGCAGATGTGTACCTAAAGCCATGTTTGAGCGCTTCACAGAGAAAGCAATTAAGGTAATTATGCTTGCACAAGAAGAAGCAAGGCGACTTGGTCACAACTTTGTTGGTACAGAGCAGATCCTTTTAGGTCTTATCGGCGAAGGAACTGGCATTGCTGCTAAGGTCCTTAAATCCATGGGAATTAACCTTAAGGACGCTCGTGTTGAAGTTGAAAAGATTATTGGAAGAGGTAGTGGTTTTGTTGCTGTTGAGATTCCATTCACTCCTCGAGCAAAGCGTGTCTTGGAGCTTTCACTAGAAGAAGCCCGGCAACTTGGTAGGTTCTTCTTCTATCCCTTCTTTAATATACCTTTAAACATAAAAGTTATCTTAGATTTCAAATGCTGACTGAATAATGTTCTGCTTGCAGAATCAGTGTGATAAAAACATTGAAGTAACTAGCTTGCATCATGAATTATGTTCTTAAGAGCATATTGCATTCACTTTAGAGTATTAACTGATCATACTTGCTTAGTTTGTCTATGATTGACATGTTCATCTTTCTTCAATGTTTCAGGCCATAATTACATTGGGTCCGAGCACTTGCTTCTGGGTCTGCTTCGTGAGGGTGAGGGTGTTGCAGCTCGTGTTCTTGAAAATTTGGGTGCCGACCCAAGCAATATTCGTACACAGGCAAGTACCAAACATTCATATAGGTTTCACTTTCCAATTGACTCTCTTTGTTATTGAAAAAAATGCTAAAGGTTTCATTGTGTGGGCAGGTTATTCGTATGGTTGGCGAGAGCACTGAAGCTGTTGGTGCTGGTGTTGGAGGCGGCAGCAGTGGTAATAAGATGCCAACCCTGGAAGAGTATGGAACCAATCTGACTAAGCTAGCAGAAGAGGTAATATTTTAGTCTTATTAAGAAATTTTGACGTATTACAAAATTGCAGCTTTGTGCTTCTCGTGTCATGGACTGCTTTATAAGTACTTTTTTTTTGGCCTTTTTTAGGGTAAGTTGGATCCTGTTGTTGGAAGGCAGCAACAAATAGAAAGAGTTGTTCAAATTTTAGGCAGGAGAACCAAAAATAACCCTTGCCTAATTGGAGAACCTGGTGTTGGAAAAACAGCAATAGCTGAGGGACTTGCTCAGCGGATTTCAAGTGGTGATGTTCCCGAAACAATAGAGGGGAAAAAGGTGAGCTGCATGTTTAAAATTTTTTTAAAAAATTGTCAGTTTATCGAATTGATACAGCTAACCTTTTTTGGGGCTAAATAATTGATACAGCTAACCTGATTTGATAGAAAATATGCATGCATAATGTCTTCACGTTGAAGATTTTCTGTTGTTCTATGATTTACATTGAACTTTTCATGGTTGGAATGCAAGAGGTGAAGAGATTTATGTTTTTATTTGTATGTGTGAGTTAGATACTTGGGGAATAATGGGGATTTGGCACGATTCTTGCGTGGGTTTTAGATCTTAGCTCATACACATGCATGACTTGCATTGGCGGATGTAGAACATTTGACTAGTGACCTTATATTTTGGTATATATATTGGAATGAAGTCTATGAACAGATAGATTTTCTCTTAAGACTCTTCTAGATTTCTAGTGGAACTCGTATATTAAGGTGGATTGTTTGCTGTGTACCCTAACACATGCATGTGGATAGGCTTTTCATTATTGTGAATAGCAAACTGACTATATGCTTGTTGTTATTAGGTTATAACTTTGGATATGGGGCTTCTCGTTGCTGGCACAAAGTACCGTGGAGAGTTTGAAGAAAGATTAAAGAAACTTATGGAGGAAATTAAACAAAGTGATGAGATCATACTTTTCATTGATGAGGTTCACACTTTGATTGGAGCAGGAGCTGCCGAAGGGGCAATTGATGCTGCAAACATTTTGAAACCAGCTCTCGCAAGAGGTGAACTGCAGGTAGCATCTTCACTATGCGTTAAAGCGGCTTTATTTTTTTGTTCTTCAAAATTAAGTTGACAAGTGCTCATGTGGTTGAGTAACTAGACAGAGCAACTATTTGTGATTGGGGTGTCACTATCAATGCTTATCTCTGTTTTTTCGAAATGTTAGAATTTCCGATTGTGGTCCACACCACATTTCAATATTCTAATGTATCCCCACCGATAAATATCTGTGTTGTCTTTTACTCTTTTTGATTGCACTGAATTTGAAATAAATCTTCCTTCACTATTGTTTTCACATGATAAAATACATATATCTCAACTGCAATGGTTATGTTCCTCTCTGAGTCTGTCAATGTGGTGAATCTGCCTCTGTTTTTAAATTCTGTCAGACCTATAAAGTTGTGTCAACTTTCTGCTGCTAATATTCTGGAGGTATGGCTAATAAGTCCTTGTTTCACTTCTAATTGTGCAGTGTATTGGAGCCACAACACTTGATGAATACAGAAAGCATATTGAAAAGGACCCAGCCTTAGAAAGACGATTTCAGCCGGTCAAAGTGCCTGAACCTACTGTTGATGAAACTATTCAAATTCTGAAAGGGCTACGGGAACGTTATGAGATCCACCACAAGCTTCGCTATACAGATGAGGCACTTATATCTGCTGCACGGCTCTCATATCAGTACATCAGGTAGAGATTCTTACATATGATCAGATTTATGTTATCTTTTCAAATTCTTAGTTCTGCAGGCAGTGGCATTTTTTTTTTTCAAGTACCAATTGATGTTTTCAAATGTTACCTAGAGAGTTCTGTTATCCTAAGCAGTTGATTAGTTTTAATCATTTGGATGGAAAGCCCTGTTACTGTTTCTACTTATATTTTTCTCCTTGAGTAGTGAAATATTAAACAAAATTTAGGGAAAAGTTGTTGCCTAGCCTTGCTGCTTGTTAGAGGCTTAGAACCAGATCATGCATTTGTGGTGGCACTACTAGTGAATTTTTTAATACTTTTTGATAAAGTTCTCTGGTTGTAAATTATTTTTATAATTTTATTCACTTTTCTGCTCATTAGTAGTTTTAGCTAGTTATAGAGGATTTCCTGATTATGTTTTTGTAAATTGTAATGGATTGTTGTTGTATCCCATATCTTATTGTTTCTATGTTTAGGTATCTTTTCTATGACCTTATTCATGGGCAGTTGATTTTTAAGGAGCTTTTGATGTTTGGTTCTCTTTTGCATAAACTTTATGCTATACAAAATTTAAATCAAAACATCAAGTTGAGGCCTGGGGGTCGCAATTTAGATGCCCGGGTGGGGCTATTTGTCAAGTTAGATTGAATCTTTAACTTTTCTACACGAGTTCAACACAGAAATTGAAAAGCTGAATGTTATGCGCATTCATTTGATTGTATGACTATGCTATAACTACTTGTTCCCTATATTGCTTTGCATTTTAGTTTCCCTAATTGGTTATGCTATATGCTTCAGTGATCGTTTTCTGCCTGATAAAGCAATTGATTTGGTTGATGAAGCTGGCTCTCGAGTTCGCCTTCGTCATGCTCAGGTAATGTTTTTTCTTTATCCTACTACTTGCTCAAACTTGTATGGAGTATCTTTGGGTTCTCGATGTTGATGAGTTTGGATCATATGCCATTTACAGCTACCTGAGGAAGCACGAGAGCTTGAGAAAGAACTCAGGCAGATCACCAAGGAGAAGAATGAAGCTGTTCGTAGCCAAGACTTTGAAAAGGTAAATCTTATGTATTTGTTGTTTTATGATATGAAACTGGAGAACATGCGGGCTCTTATCTTCGAGATGTAACCATGAAGAATTCAACATTTTAGCGTAGGTTTAAGGTCCATCTTATGTTTACTTTCATGTTCCTTGCATGTGTTAGACAACATTCCAGTTCTAATTTTTGCAATGTATAGTATGAAAAGTTCAGTATGTTGGCCTTTTGGTTTATAGACTACCGCTTTCTTTTCAAAAACAGAAAAAGGAAAAAAAAAAGAAAAAGAAAAGAGCTTTACATGTTGCAATTATTACGGTTACAAAGGGCTTAGGAAAAATTTACTTCCTTTATGAAGATAGCAACATTCTTTATTAATTTTCGATTTTAATAGCTGCTAAGGAACTACATGATGCTTTTCTTTCACTGTTTGCTTCTTTGTACCATCAAATTGTCATCTAGTAGGCTGAAAATGCATAAAATTTTGAGCAGGCTGGTGAGTTGCGAGACAGAGAAATGGACCTGAAGGCACAGATCTCAGCTCTCGTTGACAAGGGCAAGGAGATGAGCAAGGCAGAGAGTGAAGCAGGAGATGTGGGTCCCGTTGTGACTGAAGTTGAACCTCCAACCTATTGTCTCTGCTTGGACTGGCATTCCTGTTGAGAAAGTCTCGACAGATGAATCCGATCGCCTGCTCAAGATGGAAGAGACGCTTCACAAGCGTGTCATTGGTCAGGATGAAGCAGTCAAAGCCATCAGTCGTGCCATTCGCAGAGCCCGTGTTGGACTTAAGAACCCTAACCGTCCCATTGCCAGCTTCATCTTTTCTGGTCCAACTGGTGTCGGGAAGTCCGAGCTTGCAAAAGCTTTGGCTGCTTACTACTTTGGCTCTGAAGATGCCATGATCCGACTTGATATGAGTGAGTTCATGGAAAGACACACCGTCTCCAAGCTTATCGGTTCTCCCCCTGGTTATGTTGGTTACACCGAGGGTGGTCAGCTGACCGAGGCAGTTCGTCGCCGTCCTTACACTGTAGTCCTCTTTGATGAGATTGAGAAGGCTCATCCCGATGTCTTCAACATGATGCTTCAGATTCTTGAAGATGGAAGGTTGACTGATAGCAAGGGAAGAACTGTAGACTTCAAGAATACACTTTTGATTATGACATCAAACGTGGGAAGCAGTGTGATCGAGAAAGGAGGCCGCAGGATAGGGTTCGACCTTGACTATGACGAGAAGGACAGCAGCTACAACCGAATCAAGAGCTTGGTGACGGAAGAGCTGAAACAATACTTCAGGCCAGAGTTCTTGAATAGGCTGGACGAGATGATTGTCTTCCGACAGCTCACCAAGCTCGAGGTCAAGGAGATAGCAGATATCATGTTGAAGGAGGTCTTTGAAAGGCTGAAGAGCAAAGAGATCGAACTTCAAGTGACAGAGAGGTTCAGAGATAGGGTGGTTGATGAAGGTTACAACCCGAGCTACGGAGCAAGGCCTCTAAGAAGAGCCATCATGAGACTTTTGGAGGACAGCATGGCTGAGAAGATGCTTGCAAGAGAGATCAAAGAGGGTGATTCGGTGATTGTGGACGTTGATTCCGACGGAAATGTCAATGTGCTGAATGGCAGCAGTGGCTCACCTGAGTCGCTACCTGAGGCAATTGCTGTGTAAACAAATCACGGCTCGGCTTTTTGGGTTAACTTCTACCGATGTTGTTTTACTACTCTTTTTTAGTTGGAACTTTTCTATAACTGTTTGATAGACAATATTTAATAGTAGAATTGGAAGCCAGATTAGATTATTTTAGTTTATTGGCTGTTTTAAAGGCCTGTATCTCTTTGCACAGGATTAATATGCATAGTCGGTCCTAGTAACTTAATTGTTTTCTTTTCTTTCTCTTTTTGTTTTGATAAGGGGAATAAAAAACATAAGGGGAATTACATAAGAACAAGCACAACGTGCAAATAAAAAAGGAAAATCTTGTGCATGTAAATGTAATTATCTTTTCGGCAGTCACGTTAATGGTGCTACTACAATGCCTCCCAAGTGCCAAATCTCTTAAGGCAAGAGTGATTTAGGAGGATTTAGCTTGTAATAATCATTTTTTATATTTGCTATGTTGTTTGTATTGGTTTATCAAATCAGGTATGCTACTGTTATTTGTTTATCGTTATTGTTATTTGTCTGGTTTGTTGTTTGCTTTAGGACTCGTTCATTTTACCGATTTGAATTTTTAATTTTAAGTTTTTACAGTAAAAAGTTCTCAGAAAATGTCACATTTAACTTTTTCTATTACAGTAAAAAGTTTTCAGAAAATGTTACATCTCAGCTCAAATTGAAAACTCAAATCTGTGAAGTGAACGAGACCTTAGTGTTTATTTTGTTATCATTATGTGGGTAAGTTGGAATAACCCAATTAACTATTTTAATAAATTAGACTTGAATATTTGATATATTGAATATCAAAGTTGTGTTTTCTAAGTCTCGGGAATTTTCCTCTTAACCGTGGATTTGTCTTTGATCTATCTCACAAGTTTTTACAGTAAAAAGTTCTCAAAAAATGTCACATTTAACTTTTTTTGTTACAGTAAAAAGTTTTCAGAAAATGTTACATCTCAGCTCAAATTGAAAACTCAAATTTGTGAAGTGAACAAGATCTTAGTGTTTATTTTGTTATCATTACGTGGGTAAGTTGGAATAACCCAATTAACTATTTTAATAAATTAGACTTGAATATTTGATATATTGAAAATCAAAGTTGTGTTTTCTAAGTCTCGGGAATTTTCCTCTTAACCGTGGATTTGTCTTGATCTATCTCATTCCGCTGCATCAAAGAGTTTCTTTCTAAATGAGCGTCAAAAGAGTTTCTATTACACAATTACTCCACATTTTTACAGGAATCAGCCAAACACCAGGCCTAAATAAAAGCCTCGTGTTTATGTCGATTGCTTTCGGGAACTCAATTTCCTCCCTCAAAAGGAGATTCCGACATCCTTCTTGTCGTCCACTTCAAACGGGGTTAGGGGATTGAATCCCTTTAAATGGAGTGACATGCTTGTAAATAAAAAAAGGTTTATGGATGAAGTAATTGGAGTGACAAATGGTCGCCAATTTATAATCTGAATCAGACCATGGTGTAAGAAGGAAAGAAAACAGTAGAAAATATAATGTAAAGAAAATATGAACGAAAGAACGTTGTGATTTCCTTCATTGAGTGAATGACCATTTTAGTAAAAGCAATAACAAGTTTTTCTCCAAAAATGAGGAATTTGAGTCCATGCAAAGCAATAACAAGTTTTTCTTCAAAAATTTCTTCACCGTTTTATGGATTAAAGATAGCAGGACCTAAGGTCTTTTGTTGTAATATTTTCTCCTCTCTCTGTCCCTCATAACAATTGATTTTTTTTTTTTTTTTTTAATTAAGTTCCTATAGAAGTGATAAGAACATATTTGTTTTTGCTTGTGTTATACTGATAATCTATTCATTCCATTATTTTTTTTTTGGAACAATAGTAACAATCATTTTCATGATTACCAGTGTTTACAATGCCTAATCATCCGCATCAAATTTGGATTGCCTCTGAGTAGGGCTGACGCTCCCACCCCGGCTAATCTTGAGTGCTGTTAGAGCCCTTTGTATCTCCATCGTCATGGCGCTATCAACACTACCGGATGAGAGCTTCTTGTGAGATTTCTGCAAATGAAGCTTGAGTGAGCTGCTGCTCAGGCCTGCATTCTTCCCACATATCGGGCAAACCTTCATCATTGGCTTCCGCTGTTGCCATTCAATGGAAACCCTCCCGTGCAGCTTCTTATCGAGATTTGAAAGGATCTTTGCAAAGCCGTCGTTGGGCTGCGCCCGACGATGAACTCTTTTAAGAGTATTCCATGCTTCTAGTAAAGTAAAAGTTCTGCAAGATGGAGACAATAATCAATCACAATATGAAACCTTCCTAAAAAAATGAATCATATCTCCCCAGCTCTAAACAATGGGGAGATATGGTATCATTGAATAAGTTTTTTAGCACTTGTGCCCCTGAATTTCCATTGTGCAGCACTAGCGTTTTGAACTATTTTTCTTGGCAATTTAGCCCTAAAATTTATAAAAGAATAGCATTTAATTCCACTAGGAATTAAATTTATAGAGTTTAGGACTAAATTGCCATAGAAAAAAAAAGAGAGAGAAGAATCAAAGAAGAAAGTGCCAAACTACGAGAATTGTCCAGGCGCACAGTTAAAAAACTAGAATTATTTCATTCAAATATCACCCCTGTTAATAACTGGAATAAAATTGCCACTATTTATAAATTCAAGGACTTAATTTTCAAGAAATACTTTAGGGAAGAAAGTACCAAATTGCAAGAAGTTCGGGGTGCATGGGTGCTAAAACCCCTAGAGTTTGTAATTATATGTCCAATGTTCTAACATGTAAAAGTAGTTTGCACTTACTTTCTGAGCATTAGGTATGCAATAACCACAGTGGCACTTCTACTTCTCCCTTCAAAACAGTGAACTAAAACCTTCCCACCTATTTTCTCAACATGATCAATAAAATCTGAAGCTTCATCAAAGATACTACCTATGTTTGCATCTTCACAGTCACTTATCTGTCAAACGAGGAAGGTATTACTATTTAGTAACCCAAAAATACAATGTTCAAACTAACAAAAGTAACCCATTATCAAGAATCCAAAGATAAAATAAGCACTAACTGAAAAGTTCCTATACTCGAACAGATCGGGATATTGAGAATCTGACTGTCCTATTTCATTGCAGCACAGGCACAATATATGTGTGATTCCCAAATGCTGTAGAGTGAATATGGATCTCGCAGCCAGAGTACCACCAATGAACAGGCTACTTGTGATCGACGACGGCCTTTCTGTATTCGCAGCCTCCGATATCAATGTGATCCTCTCAAGAATGTGCTCAAGTCTGACCTGTAATTCACACTAAAAAAGTTGGAGAGAGCAAACTAAACGAGGAAAATATTTCGGGTACTATTAACCAAGCCCTCCTCTGCCCAACATATCGATGATTTTGCTTGACAAAAATCGAAATTTACTTAAGTGGAAGTTTGACTAATCCAAGACATGCAAGTCTAAAATACAGTTTATTTGCTGAGTATAATTTCAACACAAAAATTACCTTCAATTCATAAGCATCAATGACAGAGTTATTGTCACTACCCTCAAAAAATCCAGTATTGAAATTGTTATCCTGGCAAAGTTTGACAGCATCATTCCTCAGCATTTCATTCCATTGTTCCAATTCTTTGTTTGATTCAGCGTCAACCTGCTCAATGTACAAATAATAGAACAAAAGAAATCATGCATATGATATTAGTGAGTCATATAACGTAGACTACAAGTTAAAATGCTGATAATCTCATTCATCATTATTAAGCGAGAATTCATCTATTAGATACCAGTTCATAAAGATGACTCAACTTCCCTAGCGGTTGAGATTAATTTCGATCTGAGTTTGGAGAGTATTATTTTTGTCTAAATGTCTATTTGTTAAAGAACCATTTGCTGAAAACTTTCACTGCAATGGTTTGCAAACCTTCCACTGAAGATAGTATAAGCAGAATTTAATCTTTTACACCGAATAAGTACCTGGTTTTTCTTGTAAAACTATATATTACCAACCTTGGCAAGTTTATGAAAGTCACGGAGCTTCGCTGTCAAGCGCAGGCTGCGATGAGGCTCGTTACTCCCTTTAGAGAGTTTTCCATGCCAACCATCACGTGAGACCGGAGAACAACAATCGGTGCTGTCTTTATGTCCCGAAGACAAAGATCTTGGAGCACTTCTCTGCTCCGAATCACTAAAATCCAGATGGTTATCATTGGCAAATCGTTCCTTACTTGGTGGAGAAGGACAATTAACATTCACAGCAGCCTGTGAGGGCGACTCGGGAACCGCCAGATCCTCCTTGTCAGACTCTCCCGAAGAAATTTTGCTTATGATATTCATAAATACCCGTAACAAGCTTATTAGTTTCTGATGAAGTGCCAGTAAGAATATGTGGAATCCCAGCATGTCCCTGAGAGCAGCACGGAATCCATTTCGAAACTCGTGAACAACTGAAACTGTTTCTGGTCTTGCATCATTTGTGTCACCATCTTGTAATGAAGCACACCCTAATTTCCCTGTCGTTATGTTAAACAACAGATTAGACGCGTATTCGGGACTGTTAAGCAGTAACTCAACCAACTTGGGATAAATCGCCTGGTCATTTGCACGTTTTCCAGCAGGAGGCCGACGAGGAACACCAGAGTCAATGGCCACAATTTGGAAGTCGGAAAATGTTGATCCATCTGAAGCCTGACTTCTTTCACTTGATTTTGGTGACTCGATTATGTCAGAAAGATCAGAGGCCTGTGATACCAATACTGAATTATGAGGGCTGAATCTACTATCCACCGAAGTTGCCCTTCTATCTTTTTGAAGAGCTTTAGTCATTTTTGGCCTGTATCGCTTGATCGCGGAATCTAAGGCTTCGTCTGACGCATCCATGTATTCAGAAGCTATTTTGTCAGCCAGTAACAAATTTGCAAAATTTCCACGCCACCTGAGCTGACGGCAAGGGAGCCGATCTTCATTCCTGATGATCAAGTCCAACATCAAGACCCTACCAAGGGCATTCGCTGTTTTTTCTGCGGTTTCCCTCGACTCAAATGGTTTGGAACTTTCTAGTAATGGTGATCCATGTACATAACTGCAAAAGAGAAGGAAAGGTTTTCATAGCATCATATAGGAAACTCTTATTTTCCACTACATGCAATTTCTAGTGCCTGCATCCTCATTGCAAGGCTATTTACATTAGTATATAAGGAGCCCAAAAAGATTCTGTCTCGCTCAACGCCAAAACCATAAAATCAACTTAAGCCCAACAAGAATAGGTGTCACTTAAATCTTAACAACTATGCCAATAGGACAAAGAAGCAGAAAGCATAAAAGTAGGCATTTTTCATTATACTTGAATCTTTCTAATGACTGTTGGTTACTCTATGGTTCTCATGGAGGAAAACTCCAGTTGAAAGAAATCCAGTTTTGGTCAACAGAGCTGAAAGTAACATGTTAGGTCTCCAAGTTATTAAGCCAAGTCAAATGTCCCAACCACCCTAGAAATAAAATACTCCATGAAACAACCCTTAAACTTCTGTTTTAGACAGACGAAAATATGGTGATATACCATATTGGAAGTAGATTCTTAATCACAATAGCATATAGCACACATCAAAATGCTATGAAAAATATTTTCCATGTTGCATAGTTGTAACATCATTTACATTATAACAAAAAAGATATTGTATCACACCTCATTAAGACAAGACATCTACTAAGTTCAAGTGCCTCCAATAGCTCTGAGCAAGTCATTTCACCGACTTCATCTCCTTCTGAGCTTGCCGCATCTCTTGCTCTTTCCGCAGCCTCCTTAATCTGGAGCCACTCGGGGCTCGAATTATGAATGACTCTGGCCTAAAGTATTGTAACATCACAGCTCAGCAAAATGGTCAAAAGAACAGACAGAAGCACTTCCAATTCCAGCAATCTCTAACAGCTAAGATAGTAAATATAAGTACAACCTGAGGAGTTCGGACGCCAAGCCACTTTGCAAATTCATAACCGAGACGTTCAGATTGTGTGGCCATCCTTGAAGATGAAAACTTTAAAACGGCTGCCACTTCCTTTGGAGAAGTATCATCATCACCAGGCTGGCTGAAAAGGGCAAAGAAGACAACTCCCCCAGAATTCACAGTCACCTATATCCACACAACGGAAGAAAAGTTGAGACAACAACTACTCAACTCAACTTTGTCGGGTCCTATCCCAAACAAGGGAATGTGTGTGTGTGGGTGGCGGGCGGTGTTTCGGTGGTAAGTATTATGTGGTAGTTTACAAAATTTCCTATTGGCACTATGCAGCTATATTGCATTGAAATCACATTAAAAAAATGCAAATTTAGCAGAAATTGACAAGATTTTACGGTCCATAACTGCACAATAATGAGTAGGGTACTTTTTTTTTTAATTACTATTTCAAATTTCTTCTAATCAATTCAAGTTGACTGAGAAACAAGAAATTTCATATTCTTTAGCTAAAGTATACTGGGGTAGACCTCAAGGGCTTTGTTCATTTCATCCTCGGAATGTTCAGTACTGCAACTATGTTCAGTATGATGAAGTGAAGAAAGGTTGTCCCAAGAGAAGGAACTCGATTCGATGTCCATCATCGCAGCATTGCCAAGTCTTTCCCACAGACTAATTTCGGGCGTTTGCTCACAAGGTATAGGGTCCTTTGAATCGTCAATTGATTCTTCCGCACTGAAAGGTGATCACAATGAACAAGACGCAATGTGAACAATGTCATTCAATGGAGATCCAGTAATATCTAACACCACGATGAAATGACATGAAAAAAACAAGTGACAAAGGGAAACTAGTTTGAGACACAAAAGAAAGATATGCACTCCTTTGAATTATGCATTGGCCAGAAAGTACAAGAAACATAATAATGATGTGTTTAAAACACATTATCCAAATTCAAAATTGCAATGTAAAGTTAACAATAATAGAAGGGAAGATACATAAAAGAATTAAAAATGAAACTAACCAAGAAAACATAGGATCAAGCCTCGGAGGAGGGCGGGGGAAGCCAGAGTAGCGGTGCTTGGCGCTGCGTTTACGAACCAGTTCCAGCCATTGGGTGAACCTATACGTGGGCCCCGCCGCAATATCACCCAACATGTACAGAACCTGCATCATTCCCAACATAGCCCACCTCTATATTAATCTCAAAGTTTTGTCTCTCTAAACTCAAACTAGTACGGCAACACCACATTCACAACATAACCAAACTATATAAATTTAATCCTTTTTTTTTTCTTTAACTCAAATTAAAGCTACAACATCTCCATTTCCAACCACCCAATTTCACAAGTATGAAGTCCTATCAGTTGTTCTTTTTTCTTCTAACACAAAATAAATGCTATAATACCTCCATTGTCAAAAACACAACTTTATCACTATCGTGCCTTCTGATTTTCTTTTTTATTTAAGACACCACACCCAATTTCATGATTATGAATAAATAAACTGTCAAAAATGTAGGTAAGTAGCCGGTAAATCCACACCCACTTCCGATTTTGAGATCGAGTTTGATTCCTCCTGCCCCCGTGTTCATTGACACCGAAATTTATCACCATGATGCCTTTCTGATTTTTTTTTTTTTTTTTGAAGATACCCCAACGCCATTAATCCTATTTTTACCCCTTTTTTCTTCATTTTAACTCATATTAATTCTATAACACCTCCATTGTCAAATATCCAACTTCACACTATGACGCCCCTTACCCCAACTCCATTAATTCTAAATTTTTCTCTTATTTCTTTTCTAACTCAAATTAATTCTACAACATCTCCATTGTCAAAGACCCAACTTTGTCAATATGATGCCCTTCTGATTTTTTTTTTCTTTTCAAATTAATTGACACACCCCAACTTTTATGATAATGAAGAAATGAAACTGTATATCAATATACGCTATTGTTGAAAATCAAAATGTAGATAAAAAGAAGTAAGATTTATACCCGGGAAGTAACAGTTAGAGGCAAAGGAGTTTCAGGCTCGTCAGATCCAATGTCTTCTTCCTCTTTATCCTGCAATTCCGCCATAAACAAAATCAGACTTCCCTATAACTTCAAAAACCAAAACAAAACAACCCCATCAAATACAATCAAGAAAAAAAGCAAGGGAAGAAACCCCAACACATCCCAAAACATCACCACATCAATTTCCATCTAAATCAACTGACCCACAAACTGATATGTGCATATACACACACACACACACACACACACACACACATATATAAAAGAAGACCTGAAGGGGGTTGATGATTAGTGCAGGGTGGTGTTCCTTTTGAGCATTTTCCATAACAAAGTTTTGATTTTGGAGGTTGGGTTTTCTTTTGTTTCTGAAAAGGGGAAAGGGGAAAAAAAATGAGAGAGAACGACAGACAGTTGCACGTAAAATTTGGCGAAAAAAAGAAAAGTAGTTTGCTTTTTTTGAGGAGCTTTTTGGGGTGCGCTGTTCTGAAATGTACACACAACAGAGACCGAGAAACTGAAATAGCAAAAGTACCCATAATACTATAAACGGTCTTACAAGGTGGGTGTTGTGTAATAGAATATTGTTTTAAGTGGTAAAATAACTGCTCTTGAATTGAAAGGTTGGTTAGGGGAATATTTAATGGAATTGGATGAAATGGGTTGTTGTTGTTTTTCTTATGATTGTGATGATTACGAACTGCTTTTTTTTTTTTTTTTT